TTCTGTGCACCCCCCACTGTGGACCACAGCACTGGGCACATAGTAGGAGCTCAGCAAATTAACTCCAATTGCTTTTCGGAGATTAAAATTAAGTAATTACATAAAAAGTGATATATCCTTGCCGGAGCAGGAAAAACAGCTTCGGAATCAAGCAAGAGCTCTCTCTCATTTCCACGTCTCCAAGAGAGGATGTCAGTTGCCTCTGCACCAGAAGGGCACTTTCCCAACTTTGGGACCAGGAGCAAACTGACTCCCAGAACCAGCTCACTGACATTCCCACCGAAAGAGGCTGATCCGTGCGGCATGATGCTCGGACCATTTCTGGGAATGTATTTTCCTTTCAGGTTCTCCCTTACCACTTATTCTACTTATTAGAATTATTAGAATGCCTAGAACACCTAGCCAGAGGTCAAAGAAATGAAGCAGCAATCCACCACAGTCTCAATGATGGAAGAAGTGATGGCCCCCCGAACCGGTGGAATGACGGGCCACACCCAATTTCGGTTACTTTACACAGTTCAGTTGACGGGGGTGGGGATCTCCAAACTCCTGGAGGACTGGATGTTTCTACTTTGAACCTTCATAGCAGATTCCAGGAATAATTGCTATCATGTATTGAGTGCCTACCTCATGGTAAGATCTATATAGATGTTTTCTTTTTTTTCTAACTTTTAATATTTTTTCAGATTATTTACTTATTTTGAGAGAGAGAGGCAGACAGAGAGAGGGAGAGAGGGTGCAGGAGGTGCAGACAGAGGAGAGAGAGAGAGAGAGAGAGAGAGAATCCCGAGCAGGACCTGCTCTGTCAGTGCAGAGCACAATGTAGGGCTTGAACTCACGAACCATGAGATCACGAGCTGAGCCAAAAACAAATGTCGGTTGCTTAACCGGCTGAGCCACCAAGGCGCCCCTGATGGATGTTTCCCTGAATCCCCCAAATTTTTGAGGTAGGCAGTTGGAGAAATTTCGTAGCTTGCCCAAAGCTATGAGCTGCCTGCGTACTTTTTCTTCTTTACATTGGTCTCCACTGACCTCCTGTGTGCATTGCAAGAGCCTCCTGACCCCCATTTTAGTGTCAGCCTCACTCTGAGATTGACTTCGACCTTGGCAAGTTACTGAGCCTTGTACATCTCAGTCCGCATGTATGTAAATGCTCGTAATGATAATAGCACCTGCTGCACGGGTAACATCACCCAGATGTATGTGCATGCATGCGTATGCACGTGTGTGTGCAAAGAGCTCTATTGGAAACATCACTGCCAGGAATCCTCCAGAGACACCACCATCGCAGACTCCCCTCTTAACCTTCCCCCATGCTCTCACCTTGGCCTCCCCCACCTGCCGCAGCTGCTGCTTCCAGCATCGCAGGTGCTACGAGGAAGCCGCCGAGGTGGACTGTCTCCAGGACCCTGCCAAGCTCAGCATAGAGGTCAACTGCGTCAGCAAGACGATCACGTGTGGTGAGCATCTCCCGGTGTCTCAGGGGGCCGGGCTGAGAAACGACAGCTCGGGAGTCCCAGGCCCAGGGTTCCCAGGGTCCCCCCTGATCATCACTGCCACGGACAACATCATCGCCTCTGCTCCGAGCCCCTCGAGGGCTGGATCCATGGCATCTGTACCTCGCATGGAGTCGAGGCACCAAAAATGCTTCTTGACATGAAAGAATAGCCCATCCGCAGGTTGTGTGATTTATGATTTTATACTGTAGCCCCCCTGGGAGCTTGGGAAAGCAGATGGCTTGCAGCTCCCACACTGTGGGATGTTGGAACAGTCACTCAACAAGTCAGAACCTCTGCCCGGGGAGGAGAAAACCCCGTGCAGAGATTTGTTTTGAGAATTGAGTTAAACAATACTTCAAGGTAAAACAAGGGTACCTTTGTTAAACGTAAACAGTGCTCCCGTGTGAAACAGATACCACGGTGACTGGCCTATGTTAAGAAGTCAGCAGTGGAAGCGTAAGAGAGGCAGTGATGGACGGATGAGGTTTGTGGTTGCTGCTGAGTCGGTTCAAACCTCAGCTCGCCACCCTGCTCACCATGTCACTCCAGGGATTGTACTTCACGTCCCTAGACGGTCCGGCAGAAGAATTAGAAGAGGCAAAGGCGTGGGGGCGAGCATGGCACCTTGGGGGCACGGTACATTGGAGCCGTTTTTTATGGGCACCTATCATGTGCCAAAGGCTTTATACCCAGCAGATGCGATTGTCCTAACGATCTTATGAGATGGACTCATTATTCCCTGTTTTCGAATAAGGGCAGGAAAGCTCAGAGAAATTAAACAACTTGCCCAAAGTCACATAAGCGGCTAAGTAGCAGCGTCAGGGTTTGAACCCGGGTTCCACTGACCCCAAAGTCCAGCTAGCGAGGACTGGCTGAAGTGTGGCGCGTCGGGAAAGGAGTGAGGAGGGGCATGAGCCTAAATCCCTGCACAGTGAGCACGGAAAACACCGTCCATCCATCCATCCATCCATCCATCCATCCATTCATTCGGCAGGTGCATACTGAGCACCTACCTACACTGGGAGCACCTACCTACACTGGATATCTAGGTCCTGGGGATATCCTGACCTTCTCAAATCTCCTCATGGCTGCCAGGCACTGTAAAAATACCAGAACCAAGTGCTAGAGTGTGTTAGTGACAGGAGCCGTGGAGGGAGATAAAGCAGGGGAAGGCACAGGGAGGGCTGGGGGGGGAAGGCCCCCTGAGAAGATGCCCGCGGAGCCAAGACTGAGGCGCAGCGGGAAGCAAGCTGGCGGCCGTCCCGGAGGTGGGCACCGCCATGCCAGTGGCTTGTGGGTGTGCTTTGATGTATGCGGTGCCCCCCGTGCTTGGGAGACAGGCCAGACAGTCAGAAAGGGGGTGAGGAAGCAGGAAGGAGATGAGCTCCAAGCTCAGCTTTGACGTCCATTGGGAAGTTGTCGGAAGGTTCTAAACCCCCAGAAACACATGATTTGCCCTGAGTCTCGAAAGGCTTGTCCTCAATGAGCGTGGACAGGGCAGTAGGTTTGGGGTCGGGGGCGGGGAGAGGCCACTGACAGAGCCCAGGCACGAGCAGATGGGGGCTTGGCCCAAGGAGGGGTGTGGAGGTGGGGATATGTGGTCACACTGTAAACAGGTCGAAAGTAGAGGCCCGACGGTCGGGGGTGAGTGTGAGAGGAGGGGGCACAGAACCCAGGTTGGGCCTGCGCAGCCGAAGCTCATGGAGCCAACACGGTGAGAGCAGGACGCCCACAGGGGGAGCGGGACCCTGGCAGGCAGATCGGGGTCAGGGTGGAAGGTCGCATTAGCTCTTGGGATTCCCAGTGACATCCTCCCACCTGCTCTGCCCTTGCTCCGTGCACAGAGTCCGGGGACCCTTGCGAGCACCTGCTGTGTACCTGCGACAAGGTTGCCATAGAGTGCTTGGCTCAGTCCAGCATCAACTCTTCCCTGAACCTTCTGGACACTTCCTTCTGTCTGGCTCAGCCTCCAGGTGGGAAGAACTGGGCCCCGCGTCGGTGGTGGGGCCTGACAAGCTGGGGCGGGAGCCGGCACGGGAGCCTTAGTTGCCGTGTGTCCTCAGATGCGAGTCCGGCCCCTTCCGACAGTCCCCCAATCCGCTGCCCTGAACAGGCTTCCCAATGTGTTTCTTTGCAGAGACGCCCAGCACGAGAGAGTGGACCACGCTTCAGCCCAGAGGTAAGGCCTCCTAGGGAGGCTGCTCCTCGGCCCACAGGGGCCAGGCTACAGCTGGAGCTAGGAGATACCCCCCCACCCCCCTGCCGGGCCTGCCTGAGTGACCCGTGGCACTGGAGAGGTCCCCCCCTACCTTCCCCTGCCCAGGAGACAGCATGACTGCTGAGAAACCCAGTTCAAACATCCAACAGCAAACGGCCCTCCTGCAAACATCGTTCTTTGCCACATGGACAGGGGTGCGTTTAATCCAGTTAAGGTGTAGACCCCGGGTGCTTTCTCTCTTGCTCTAGAGTCAGGGCCCTGGTGTACAATGAGGGCAGGACAGGGTCCAGTGCTCTGATGGAGGAAAAGGCTCCTCGTGGCTGGGTGAGCTCCTGGCCACGGAGGCCTCCAAAGAGCAGACAGGCTTCCTCCCTCCTCTGCCTTCCAGAACTTACCGCAGAAAGGGCAGTCTGGGCCCAGACAGGGGCTCCTTGCAGGGGAGGCTATTTTTTGTCCCTCCTCTTAAGACAGGCCGCCTACTGAAGCCAGTAAGTGTTCATTCCTACTCTAAAACATGCGTCTTATGGGAAAAGCAAGGGTTCAGCTCACGCTGGGCATTCCTCCTTCACCAAAGATCGCACGGCCTCTCCGTCCCGACGCCACGGGTGCCCGGGGATGGGAATTTCGAGGGGCGCTTTGGCAGAGCGTCCCTCCTTTCCTGGGGCTGGGGTCTCCCTCCCAGCCCCGCGGCGTTTGTCAACGAAGCTGAGGTCAGCGCGCCCGCGCGTGTGAGCGTGCACGTGTGCAGGAGTGTGCTGGCGTAGGCGTGCGCACATGCGTGGCTATGGGTGTGTGTGTGTGCGTGTCCTATTTCGATGTATCTTCTGAGTCTGGTTCTCTTTCTTCCGTGCCGTCTGCCTCCCTTTTTTTATTTATTTATTTATTTTTTTTTAATTTTTTTTTCAATGTTTATTTATTTTTGGGACAGAGAGAGACAGAGCATGAATGGGGGAGGGGCAGAGAGAGGGGAGACACAGAATCGAACAGGCTCCGTTAGCCTGCCTGGGCCATCAAGCCCAGAGCCTCAGATCGCTGGGCTCAACTCAAACCTGCAGGTGAGATCGTGACCTGGGTGAAGTCGGACGCTTAACCGACTGCGCCACCCAGGCGCCCCTGCCTCCCTTTTTTTAAAAAAAAATTTTTTTTTCTAACGTTTATTTTTGAGACAGAGAGAGACAGAGCGTGAACGGGGGAGGGTCAGAGAGAGGAGACACAGAATTGGAAACAGGGCCCAGGCTCGAGCCAGCGCCGAGGACGCTGGGCTCGAATCAGGATCAAGTGAGATGTATCTTGAGCCGGTCGGCCGCTTAACCGACCGAGCCACCCAGGCGCCCCCCTCTGCCTCCCTTTTGAACGGAGGTCTTTCTAAGTCGGGATATCACAAACCTTCGAGGTCTGCAGGCCTTTCACTGCCACAGCCTGGGTCTGCTAGGGTCACCTTCCCCGGCCAGAACCCAGCAGGGGCTGCAGTCCCTCCTGTGCTGGGGCCCCGTAAGCATCCCATGTCCCGGGAGGTGTAGGTGAGACAGGGAAACCCTGAGATAGAACGAAAGCCCTTGTCTGGCAACAGCTCTCGCGGCCCCCTCCCGTCTCGGGCCAGCAGTCCCAGCCTGTCCTCTGAGACCCGTGGCACTTGGTCTGGGCGCAGTGTTCCATCAGTCATTGCTTCGGGGCTTTCTGTTTCAGTGGTTCCTGTGGACCCCGCAGACACCAGTGCGATGGCCGTTTCAGGAGAAGGTGAGCACGAGGGGGCCGGCGTGTAGCCCAAATACCCACGCTGTGGTTGTGCCATCTGCCTGCCTGCTGGGACTACTTCCCCTAAAATGCCCCCTGCCCGGGATTGCATTGAGACTGCTCAAGAACATTCCAGAGCCACTCAGTTCCTCCCGACCCCCGCATCTCTTCTCTCTTTGCTCTGCTTTCTCCCACACCCCTCTTCCCACCTCGGTAGAATTGTCAGATGCAGGATAGTCACCCTCGGTCACCTGAGGCTGAATTTCAGATGAGCCACAAATACTGTTTTAGTATGAGTATGTCGCAGAATTTGCATGGGATATACTCATACTGAAGAGTGATCTGTCGCTCGCGTGAAATCTGAATTTAACTGGGCCTCCTGTATTTTTTATTTGCCACACTTGGCAATTCTATGCCTCAGGGGGATCGCCCTGCACCGCCACCTTCCCAGAAGTTTGAGCCTTTCTCTCCTCCGCGGCTGCTGCCGTGAGAAAAGACGCACGAGCTCACTGTGCAGCTGATCCCCGGCTGCCCTCCATGTCCAAGGGCATCTCATCCCCAACAGCTCTCGGGCAGCCCGTGCCTTGGACTCCAGGTCTAGGAGAAGAGGAAACGGCACCCGAACCCAGCCAAAGCTTCACCATGTGCCCCGCCCACATGGCAACCATTCCCCGCATGACCGACAGTGGCCACTTCCATCAGGAACCGAGGCTGCGCCTCGGGCTTTGCTGCCCACGAGACAATCTCCGAATAACCCTCAGTTGGCACATTTTCCACTTTCTGCAGCCTGAGCCGTCATCACCCTGGGCATGGTGCAGAGAAAACACGCTTCGTAAGGAACCCAGAGTCTAACTGGTGAAAGAGAGTTCGTGCACTCACACGTCGGTCCCCCAGCACTCATGCACGCACACCCATGACCTCACAGTGCCCACAAATGCCCTCCAGGAAAGGAGGGAGCCTGAATGCAGGAAGAAGCTTCGGTCACAAGGGAAAAAGACAAAGGGCCCGTGACTGTCCTCAGCATCGTGTCATGCAACCACCGTGCTTTGGAGCCCAGCGGCTTTGGGATGGTCTCCTGGCTCTCCCATTTTTCAGCTGTAGAACTCTGAAAGCATGGTTCGCCCTCTCCGATCTTCCATTTCACTTCAGAGAGCAGCGACTGGCCTTTTTTTTTTTTTTCCTGTAAAGGGCCAGACAGTAAATATTTTAGGCTTTGTGGGCCATAGGGTCTCTGTCACAATGACCCAACTCGGTCATTTGGACTGGAACCATAACGTCGGTAACTGGATGGGTGTGAACGTGTTCCGCTAAAATGTTATTTGCAAAAACAGGCTGAGGGCTGAGCCAGGGTTTAGCAGCCCCTGGAAAGGGATGGTTACACCTGTCCTCCGGGGTGACAGGGGCTTAAATGAGAGAGAGAGCATGGGAGGATTCTGGGCCAGCGTCTTCTTCGGAAGTCTGGTGCGGCTGTGAATAAGCAATGCGGGACACTGGACAATTTGCTTCAAATATTAAATCTCATTTAATACTCACACAACCCGGTAAAATCATCAACCCCACACCGAGATGGTAAAGTGAGCTGGAGAGAGAAATTGTCCAAGACATGCAGCTGGGTGGCGGACTGGGGTTCGAGGCCTGTATGGCGTTCTGTCCTTACCGCTAGACCGCACCCCCCCTTCGGGTGCCTTCCCCCGTGGACCTGCTCCAGCAAGGGGACATAGTGTCTCGTTCTCCCAAAGGGGCCATTGGCTTGTCTCTTTGCCTACAAACAGGCCTGGTGCTAATGTGGCCCCTCGTCCACTTAATGGAGACCAGCGTGTCCATATTCTTCATCAGACCACCATGGGCTTCCTCTCCTCAGCCCCCCAGTCCCTCGGCCCCCAAAGCTGTTTTGTTTGCAGGCGACCCCTGCCTGGCTTACGTGCTGAGCTGGGCGGGTAATTGAAGTTGAGTGGTTTCTTTCCACAGTGGCTCCTGAGACCAGAGCCGACCCGCTGACCACGCCCTCCAGGACAAGTAAGCAGAGAAGACTCCGCAGGAGGGGACAGCACGGGATCCGGTGGCGACATGCCATCTAAATATACATGCTCAGTTCTGATGACAGCTCTTTGACGGGCCCCAGAAGACACATTAGTATACGCACTTTCCAGATGATGTAGGAAACTGAGGCTCTTAAAAGTTACAGGTGGTTCAGCACCAGACTCGCTGGACTGGTCTCTAACCCAGTCTCAGGTTATAAGACTTGTTTCGTCTCTTGTCATTCCATCTTGTTCCATCTTGTTCCGTGTCGTGGTGACTCACGGAGAACAGCCTCGTCCCTAAAAACATCTAGGCCAATGTGTCCTCGGAAGAAGTAATCTAATCATTTACTTTGCTTGTGGTGATGAATAACCATTTTTGATAAGCATATATCTCTCATAATAACCATTGACTAATTACTAAGAATGAATAAACAGATTCCTTGGTTAACAGGCAGTGACATCACAGAGGACTTCAATGTGTCGGCCCGTTCCTAAGCCCCTACGCCCATCCTCCGGGTTCATCCCCCTGGTCCTAGGAGGCCCCATTTGACAGATAAAGGAGGCGCTCTGAGGGGCAGTCGTTTGCCTGGGGTAGGACAGCATAGTATTCCGTTCGTTCTGAACCTGCGAATTTTACTTTGAAGGGAACCATCTTCCCGGCTTAGAACCCCGGAGGTTCTGTGTCCACTTTTATGTGTCCACAGCAGTAGACTCGTGAGCCCGATCTCGACATATCACCATGGCAATCTTGACCTTTGACACACTGAATTTAAGGCAGTTCCTTCCTTCACCCATGGTGTTGGGAGTTACCACCACTGGCCCTCTGTAGTACGGCCAGAAGAGCAACAGCCCCCTATCTCAGTGGTTAGGACAGCCACCTTCGGCCAAGTGGCCCCGGGAACTGCATTCTGTGACTTCCTAGCTCCATGACCTACAGTAAGTGACCTGTCTTCTCTGTGTGCCCCCGTTCTCATCTCTGAGTGAGGGTGAGCACAGTACTAATTTGTGGGGTTGTTGTTTAGGACGAGCAAAGCACTTAATACTGTGTCTGGCTTGTAGCAGGTCTTAGTCTGTTCCTGCTGCTACAACAAAACGTCAGTAGCCTGTGAACAACGCAATTTATGTCTCATGGTTCTAGAGGCTGGAAGTCCAAGCTCAAGACACCAGCATGGTCAAGTTCAGGGACGCCTGCTTCCTAGACAGCCACCTTCTTGCTGTGTTCCCACATGGTGGAAGGAGCCAGGGAGCTCTGTGGGGTCTCTTTCGTCAGGGCACGAATCCCATTCATGAAGGCTCCCCCCTCCTGACCTAATCGCCTCTCAAAGTCCCCAAGATCATCCCGCTGGGAATCAGGTTTCAACACATGAGTTTGGGGGAAGCACAAACACCCAGTCTATAGCGTAGTAGGAGCCTAATCGCAGTTAAACAACAACAATCTCATTTCGCAGGGAACCGGGGCTCAGCAGTCTCCCGGAAGCCACATAGCAGGCAACTAGAGCCCTTCTGCTGCCTTGTTCTTCTTCGTTCAAAAATACGTGGTTAAAAAAAGGTTTTTGTTTGTTGAAACTCTGGAGAAGTCTGCTTTCCTCAAGTAGCTCAAAGATGCACCTGCTTCGAGACCTGCAGGTCGCGGCTACTTTTGCCAGCAAGCCCGTGTCTGGGGAGGGCAGTCTCTTTGGCTTAGCAGCGACCCAGCCATTACCACCAGCTCCTGGGAGGTAGCCAGGGGCAGAGCAACGAGCACATTGCCTCCTGTGCCCGTGGGATGGCAACCGCTTCTGGAAGCCAGGGTGGGACAGACCGGAGTCAACACTCATCCCGTCTCTCTTTTTTTGTGGGCAGGCACGGGCCAAGGCCAGCAAGGCGCAGAAGCCGCTCGGACCATACCCGCTCCGGGTAAGCACACCGGGTCTTCCCGCCTGCATATAACCGTCATCCCTATACGTTTATGGGATCTGGTGTCTCTAAAACATGGAAGAACCATGGAAACCAAGTCCCTTTTACACCCTCTCCCAAGAGCAGACAAAGGAAGTTAAAAGGTAGGTCCATTTCGAAAGAAAGGGAAGAAAAGGTAGAAAGAAAGGGAAGCCTACCTGATACAGAGATGCTTTTAGAAAAATATAGAAAACTGTGTATTGTTTTCTATTTAAATCACCTGTCATGTCACATTATACACACAGCCACTTTCAAAAGCTGGAGGCATTTCCCTCTCCTGTCTCCCCACGGGCAGGGCAGCTCTATGACCTTAATTAACATGAATTAACATGAACCAAGATCCCTTGGTGCCGTGGCTTTGCAAGTCTGAGCTGTTACACTGAAAACATGAGGCGAGGGGGCGCCTGGGTGGCTCAGTCGGTTAAGCATCCGACTTTGGCTCAGGTCATGATCTCACGGAGGTTCGTGGGTTCGAGCCCCGCATCGGGCTCTGTGCTGACAGCTCAGAGCCTGGAGCCTTCTTCGGATTCTGTGTCTCCCTCTCTCTCTGCCCCTCTCCTGCTCATGCTCTCTCTCTGTCTCAAAAATAAATAAACATTAAAAAAAATCTTTTTAATGAGGTGATACTCCCCTGATATTAAATATTTTCCTATAACATGATTTTGAGTGGCTGTACCACAGTTTCTGGTACGGAAGACCATAAATGTATTTAGCCAATTAATCTCTAACATCTGTTATTGTGAATAATAGATTTAGGCTTTAAACCCACTACTTCGGATTCATTTGTCACCACAAATGCCGAGAAGCTGAATTACTGAGGGCGTGATCCTTGTAGGGCTCGCCCCATGTTGCCAAATTGCCCTGGAGAAAAACTGGCCCTCACCTGTGGATCCCATGACTAATACCGTGTACTATTATTTAAAAGCGAGCAAACAGGGGCGCCTGGGTGGCGCAGTCGGTTAAGCGTCCGACTTCAGTCAGGTCGCGATCTCGCGGTCCGTGAGTTTGAGCCCCGCGTCGGGCTCTGGGCTGATGGCTCGGAGCCTGGAGCCTGTGTCTCCCTCTCTCTCTGCCCCTCCCCCGTTCATGCTCTGTCTCTCTCTGTCCCAAAAATAAATAAACGTTGAGAAAAAAAAATAAATAAATAAAAAAAATAAAAGCGAGCAAACAAAAACCTCTATTGTTTTAATAGAAAAAAAGACCCACGGTAGCTCATTTTTCCTCCTTCTCCCCTCCGAGGAAAATTGAAAGGAGTGATTTTTGTACCCAAGAGTGGCTGGCCTCTCACTCCGGGAGCTTTGGACCAGGCCTGGCCAGAATTCTCAAATCTTTTTTTTTTTTTTTTTTTTTTAAGTTTATTTATTTTGAAAGAGAGAGAGTGCAAGAGGGGAAGGGGCAGAGAGAATCCCAAGCAGAGCCCTACGTGGGGCTTGAACCCATGAATTACGAGATCATGACCTGAGCCAGGATCGAGTCAGACACTTAACCAACTGAGCCACCCAGGTGCCTCCAGAATTGCCAAATCTTAACCGAATTTATGGAGGTGGGTCCCCAGTGTCAGAGCTGAGGGCATTGAGACTTGGACCGACTTTGCCCTCAGGTGCACAGTGACCTTCTCAGCCTGGGAGTTGGGGAGCGAGAGGCATTTGGGGTGGCCGTTCAGGCAGGGTGAGGGATGCCACAGGCCCTCCTCTAAGGGGATGAGGTGGGGGGGTCTCACGTTTGATTAGCACCAATGATCCAGAAAGTTCTTCCTCAGAGGGGGAGGGCTTCTAGCAGGACGCTCAGACTCAGCAGAGAGACAAACGGGCTTCTGGGGCTCCATCTGCCGATAGAGTTTTCCGCCTGGAGAGCCTCCAACCCCAGACCAGATGTGTCATCACCCTCCCTGAGCGATTCTAACGGCTGCTGTAGACCGTTGCCTCCTTGCTAGGCATTTGGCTACAAGATTATTCACACACAAAACAGGTATCACTGAGGCGCCTGGGTGGCCCTGGGTCCGACTCTCAGTTTCAGCTCAGGTTATGCTCCCGCAGTTTGTGAGATCGAGCCCCGCATCAGGCTCTACATTGACAGCTTAGAGCCTGCTTGGGATCCTCTCTCTCTCTCTCTCTTTGCCCTTCCCTTACTCGCATGCACTCTCTCTCTTTCAAAATAAATAAACATTTAACACAGGTATTATTAACATAGTTTTAGAAATGGGGAAATTAAGATTGAGAGAGGCTAGGGATGCCTGGGTGGCTCAGTCAGGTTAGCATCCAACTTCGGCTCAGGTCATGATCTCATGGTTTGTGGGATCGAGCCCTGTGTTGAGCTCTGCACTGAGTGGGATTCTCTCTCTGTCTCTCTCCCTCTCCCCCTCCCCACCCCCCACCAAATGGATAAATAAATTTTAAAAAGTGGCAAGACAAATTTTATTCAGGTTTCTGCAGTGGGGAGGGGAGACTCCAGGGTCCCTGAGCTTGGCTAGGATCTGGGTGGAGGTGAGAGGGCCTTTGAGAGGGCGAATGGGAGGGCGGACAGCTATTGGGAGCTCCTGCAGAATCAGGGAAGCAAAAAATTCCAAAATGGGGGGGGGGCTGTTTTCTGAAAACTTAGGCAAAGGCAAGTGTTGGGTCAGTGAGCGTCTCAAGCTGTTAAGTTCTCTTGGCTGCCTTGAGCTTTCTCAGGCAGGAAGTCAAGGGGAAGTGGGAGGCTGGGTCATCCTGGGGACACCAGGCTGGGGTTGGTGAGTGTCTCCTTAGTGTGGGGGCAGGGCATGGATGAAAGAGTTTGTGCCGTGAATTTGAAATTCTCATAGGTCCAGGTTGAGGCCTGGCCGAGAAGAAGGCCCAGAGGAGGCCGGCTAGAGGCTGGTCAAGGAGAGAATCTGTCAGCTCCCAGCAGTTTGGAACACGATGGAAAGAAACCCCTGCGTGGGTTTCTGTTTATGGGATTGGAGAGGGGGGCATGATGTTAGACAGAGGTTACAACAGGGCTACTAAGGCTGTGTGCCCAACCCCCAGGGAACGGAGTGCTGAGCAAGGACACAGAAGCCCAGGGATATGAAGCAAACCAACATGGAGGATCTGGGGAAAGACTGCAAGTCAGGGGGCCCTTGAGATGCCCCAGCCTCACCCAGCGCTCTGGGTCCACAGATGGTGGGGGCGGAGCCCACGAGGCTCCCTCTGTCTGGACCAGACTGGGTTGGAGACATCCCTACCTCTGGCCAAAAGACCAGATGGGTCAGACACGGAGCAAAGGGGGATCTGGACGGTGCCAGGGAGCCTGGGG